GATGGTGTTCGCGGCTCCACTGTTTATGACAGGCGGTCTGGCGAGTTAGCGCCTGCGGGACCAGCTCTACCATCTTCCTGGCTAGCATTGGTTTATAACTTTTTATTGACGTAGCTGGCGACTGTCACGGCGCCGATCGGTAAACGGGCTGTTGATTTGCGCCATTAGTGGTGAACAGTGTCGGCGGCGAAGTCGTGGCGAAATAGAACCGTTTCTAACTATTTTTGTCTGTCGAGCGTTGTCGGCCGGTCCGTCGTCGCGTCAGGCCAATGTGCGATGGCTCATAGTAGGAAACAATAGTTTCTAATTTTCTGAAAGTCTGTTTGTCGTTACGAGTCGGTCGTTGTCGCTGCAGACTGTGGCCTTGGCCTGTAAACATTAGTCTAATTAGAGCGAGCCTATATTACCGGCTCCGTACGTGCGAGGTTTTTATCAACCTCTTCCACCCCGGCGTCCCGTGGCAACTTCGTCTACCCCTGCGGCTCGAGGGCGAGGCCGTCATTGCGTACGTTGTGCACGAAAAACTGTGCAGAAAAACTTCCGAACTCGCCTGCTCGCAGTTTAATATAACGTAAACATAAACGTCGCACGCACACATAAACGTTACACACGCGATGTACGCACCACATGCCGTGGCGCACGGACGAAGGAAGCAGTTATATACGCAAGCGGCGTAGTTGCCGGTATTGGCGGTTCATTCGCCAGTGTTGGCGTTTGCCGCACCTCAAATGCATAATGCTACCGAATTTCTGGGATTCTGTTTGAAATATTGCAAAAGCCGCTAGCACTTATTCATTGCCACGTAGCAAAATGCACACAATTGGTTTGAACGTTAACTCACTGAATGTAGATGGAATGTGAATTTCTCCGAAATATAGAATCGCCTCAGATATGAAGGTCATGGGTGGCGGGACATAACGTTTAAATGACGACAAGCGGCATGATTCAGCGGGCGGATTCACGCGGCGGCGGCGACAACACGGCACATTTCTTATTATATTGGAAGCTGACATGATCCAGATGAGACGGGTGATTCTTAGAGAAGCTGTTGCCGAAAGGAGATGTTGATCCCAATTGCGCGTAAAGGAATGTTGCTTGAATAGTAAAACCGCAAGCCGCATATTCTGCCGTACGAGATGTGGAATAGATGATTTGACGACCTCGGACATACCAATATACGTTACCACTACATATACGAATAGGAATTCGTTACGGAGACGAATACGAAATTACGTGATACATACGAATTACGTTACGAATACCATATCGAACAGTACGAATATGCATCCGAATATTAATGTTACATATTATATGAATATGATCAATATATTGAGTGTGCATTTACACACATATACATGATATAGATACAACATTATGTTAAGAACTACCATGTATCCATACATACATATACATATTACCATAATCATGTATGCAGCTGTTTAGGATAGGTTACATCGAATACAGTTACGAATACCATACTGGACCTCACGAATATACCATAGGAATATCATGTTACCATGATATTACTAACACCTACGCTATAATTTGCAGAATGGTATTGGCAAGACTGAATTAGTAGATATATATATACATATATATATACCACACACATGATATCCACGACGGACAACACAGTATAATGAAGACGCAACGCCATCTTGTACACGGTCTCTAGTGCCGCTAGTGGCTCAGTCTAAACGAACTGATCAGTGTGTGCTGTACGTGCGCGCTTGATCTTCCTGCCAGTGGCTGGTAATATGCCAAAAACGCGCAAAACCGTGCTAGCAGTCTGAGAAGGGATGCCGAGCGCTGGGAGTGAACGGTTCATAAGGAGAAGCAAGATGGCTACGATAATGAAAACGCGATGTCACGATTCCAGGTTAGACTCGCACGGACGTTAATTCGGGCAAGTCTGTTTCGCTACACTAAAGTTATAGTTACTGCAGCGTGTCAAACTGTGCACCTGGGGCCAGTCTCA